TCAATCATAGAAGAAATGCTGTCTTCAGAAGCTGCCTGGAATGCAACGAACACTTTTGCCACAGAAGTGCTTACAGAGCTGCGTTCCATCGAGAGAAAAAGACCAAAAGTCGCGTTAGGATAAAAAGCAATTAGTTCGATTTGTTTTTGAGTACAAAAATCGCTCAATTCCATAGTTAAATGCGAGGAATGTCCGTCAATAAATAATACAACTGGTCGTTGAATTTCATTTTTAGTTAACCAAGGTTAAAGACATTAGTGACATATTCATAAAATGTCTCACTGGTCATCCAGCCATTTGGAGATTTTCCAATAGCCCAGGACTTAGGAACGCTTGTACTTATTGAAGCAGGAAGACGTTCATAATTAAATATGATTATATTTAATTAAAAATTCTAAAATATCAATTTCTCAATTAAAAAATATTTTGTGAAAAAATTGAACAGTACAAAATTAAATAAAGATTTTTTAGAGCAACTTCGGAATTTTTTTTTTTAAATTTATACATTTTATTTTTTTTATAATTTATACCGTAAATCTAACATAAAATATATTAATTAAAAAAACTTAAAAATGTAAATTTGCCGATTCTTAGACTTAAAAAACCTAATGACTGTATATAACAAAATCATCACTCAGATTTGGCTTTATTTGATACTGTTAAGTCAGATCCGGCTTGATAAAATTGTATCAGAACATATTAAAAAATTAGAAAACGGACATATCAAATTATATCAAGCCATATCAGAATATATCAATAAATTATCTATAGATATATCAAATTATATCAGCCCAGATCAAATTATATCAAACCAGATCAAGCCATATCAAGCCTGATCAAGCTTTATTGGCCTGATATGGCCAATTTGCATATCAGGTCATATCAGGTTATATCAGGACCTATCAAAAATTATACATAGACATATCAGATTATATCAGGCCTGATATGATTATATCAAAAATTTTGATATGGCCATATCAGGACATATCAAGTCTGATCAGAATATTTTTTCACGGGTCTTGAAAAATTTTATGTAAAAAAATATATTATTGATCACTTTTAAGACTCGTATGCTTATAGAATGTAAATAACTGCACTGTTAGACAGAACGTTTGTGAACGTAAACGAATTAACTTATATAAAAAGGTTAGAGCGCCTTTGATTTTACCATTGGCAGTAATGGGCGCTACGGGATTTGCATGCCCCTTCTAGTGTCATTTGTGTTTTTTTTAAATAATCTTTATTTAAAAAAGTGTAAATAAATAATTTTGTGATTATTTAGACTTTTCAAAATCAACTATGATAATTACTAGTAGAATTATATGAGAAAAATATAAAAAATTTCGCTTTTATAAATGTGAGTTATCTTAACCAAATTATTAAGAAATTTAAAATTTGCTTGCGGTTTCAGTTTGGTTGAGAAAGAAAAATTTTTTTTTACTAAGAAGGTTTTCCTTGAAATAAAAATTGAACATTTCTGTGATCTTAAGGTCTTAAAGATTAGAAATAAAATAGTCATAATATAAAGTAATGATTAAATTGTTTAAATAAATAGCAAAATCAATTAAAGTGCCACTAAAGGGACCCCCGCCACTAATGGGGTCTTTTACCTTACAATTTATTTTTAATTTTTTTTTCTATTTACAAATATATATTTACATAAATTATAATTTTGTAATTAAATTACTATGTTTCAGGTCATTCTAATTCTAGGATTTTGTGGAGCGATGCGATGCAAAGAACTTGGCCTCTTCAATCATAATGGTGTCGAAGATGTTGGGTCTAAATTTCTCGTATCTGTTCGAGACACCAAAAATTATTACCCACGATCTTTTGTGATTATAAATCAATACTACAACCTTGTTAAAAAATACATTGCTTTACGGCCTGAAAACTGCACGAGTGAAAAATTCCTTTTGTGTTACAGAAGTGGACGTTGCATTCGTCGACCAATGGGTAAAAACAAAATTTGTATCGTACCCCAAAGAATTGCAAAGTTTTTGAATTTACCCAATCCGGAAGCTTATACGGAACATTGTTTTCGTCGTACTTCAACGACACTGCTAGCAAACTCTGGAGCCAGTTTAACCACTATATTAAACAAGATGGAGGATGGCGATCTAGCAGTGTCTCTGAAGGTTACTTTGAAAATTCATTACAAAACAAGACAAGAATCTTCAATAAAATAATTAATCCAGAAAATCAGCAGCCTGTTCGTGAAAAAAAACATCCAATCTCAAGTAGCTCATCCGCCAGCCAAAAGGACTCGATTTTCAGGCGTTTCAAGCAATCCACAACCGTCTACTTCTACTTTCAAGTCTGCTCATGAATTAATTGCAAATCGAAGAAAGCATACCTTCACCTACACACATTGTAGAAGATATTAACGATTTAGACTTCGACACTCCGTTTGAACCGATACCAAAAGAAAATCCGAATTTTCGGTTGACAGCTGAAGCTTCAAAACAAAATGGAGAGTCTACAAAAGGAACAAGAGAGGTGTTGAGTGAATTAATAAATAAAAAAATATCAAATGCGTTTAATTTAATGTCCCCTGTTGTTAGATTTGAAAACTGCACTATTAACAACATCACTATTAATACAAAGAATAATGATATTTCCTAATTATAAAATGTGATCGAGACAAATAATTATTTTCTTATCGAAAAAAATAATTATATTTTGTTATTTCTAAAGAAAACTAACTTTAAACTTGTGATTATTAAAGTTAATACATAATTGTTTAAGTCACTGAGGTTTAAAAAAATTTATGTACGTGTTACTTTAAAAGCCATCAGAAAATAATAATTTAAAAAATTATATAATTTAAAATAATAATCAAGTTAATGATGATGAGATTTAATAATAAAATGTAATTTCCTAATAAACTTTTCGAACTGTTGATAGAAAAAATAATTGTATTTTGTTGTTTCCAAAGAAAACATAGAAATTATAAAAAAATATAATTTAAAATAAGTATTTTTGAGGTGGGGGGGGGGCTCCGCTCCCCAACCCCCCGCCGGGGCTTCGCCCGTGAACTCCGTGAACAAATCGCTGAGTTCCATTTAACTTTTTTACGAACTTTTGGCCTGGCAGGATAAAAAATAGTATGTGCAAGATAGGACGAAAAGTACTACATTTTCGTCCTGGATATTTGCCACCCTCGTCTTCGGCCTATGTTACACAACATACTATTCTTCCTCTCCTAGCCGAAAGTACGCTCTTCCGGGACGCACTTTACCTCGGCAGCACAGAACCTAGCTTTCTTTCGTATTTTCGTACCGCGACCGGCCTATACAGCGAGTTTCAACTGCATAACAGTCACAATGTCGTCTGTGTGTGACATGTCAGCGCATAAACTGACCAAAAAATATCAAAGAAATAAATATAATTTTTAACTATATCATTGTTAATGAGCTATTTAATAATAATACTGCACGAATAATTTATATAGAAGGTTTACAAAATAAAGTATCAAAGTTTTGTAGATTTTATTTGCTTTCTTTTATATTTTGACAGCTATTAAAACAATGTTTATAAAACAATCTATGTGTACTCTACAAGCTTCTAATAATTCAATTTTAATCTCTCTTAGCCGTCGATTACTAATTAAAAACTAATTTTTAACCAACTTAAAAAAAACAATTCTGTTATTTAAACGAGTTTAAATATTTATGACAAGTTCTGTGCATTTTATAACTCTTAATCAGAGCATTTGTTAGTAAATTTTAAGATAACTTTTTTTTTTAATTTATTAAGTTTTATTTTTTTTTATGCCTGCCCCGACCCGCAAAGCCTCGGCTTTGCAAAAGTCGGGCGGTGCCCCCCTCGTGCCCGGCAAAACCCCTTCCACGGGGTTGCGTATTTTCGGCTGGAGAGCAAGAAAAATAGTATACAACTCATGACCAGAATGTTGGATGCCTGGATGTATGGGATATAATGGCCGAGGCGTAACCTCGGCCATCATATTCCATACGCCAAGAAATCCAACTTTCTGGCCTTAGGTTGTAATATACTAATTTTACCGCCGTGAACCCAGCGCCGCGCCCAGCCAACTTCATTTTTTCAAAGTAGTACCATAATTAATAACTAAGGGAATTAAAATATAATAATTTTGATTATTGGAATCGGGAGGGAGTGATCATTCGGAAGAGGCGCTTCATATAATCAAGATAGAATTTCACTTACAGGTAAGTTCGTTTAATCTTTGAATTGTATTTCGCGCCTCTTCCTCTGATCACTAGTAGATATTTAAAGTATTATGGCACTATAATTATCAAACGTGCGTAGGTGAGATATTTATTAATAAAATAAAGAGATTTAGTTAGTTTCATGCTTCTCTATTCTAATATAGCTTTAGCAAAACTAAATGTATCTTCGATTATATTTAAATTATAAAATGTAGCAAATGCCGCTTCTCTTCGCTGCAGATGTCGACGCTTGTCGAGTACTGTACGCTGTAAAAATATCTGTATCAATCTTGCACATCTCAAGGACTTCTTTAATCCATCGGCTGATGGTCAGGGCCGTAACTTTGTTATGAGGCCTCTGATGTGAGACAATCAACTCGTTTGTACTTCCTCGAATTTCTTTCGTCCTCTCCAAGTAATTTAGTAGAGTAGTAGCAACACAGATTTTCTTATTTTTTTTTTTAAATGGTAATGTAAGGGGTCGGTTGTGCTTGACGAGGGCCAGAAGTCTTAATTGTTGCTGGAATTTTTATAACAATAGCTTCCCGCTGTTTCTGAACATCTAAGACATTAATTAGTGAAAAAGTTTGCATGCGATGGCCTGTTGTTAGTGCTAGAAGAATAACTAACTTAAATGACAGTCGTTTTAAGGACAGATCACCATTTTCTGGCCATTGATTTAAAAGTTTGAGAACCACGTCTGGGTCCCATGTTCCATTGTATTTTCGCTTTGGAGGCCTTATATTAGCGATACTTTTACAAAACCTCTTAATTCTGGCGTCTTGTCTCACTTCCGCCCCCAGTAACAGTGATAACGCTGATTTATACGAGTTGATGGATCCATATGACGCATCTCTATTAAATTCTTGTGTTAAGAAGTTCAATATGTGCGTAATATTAAAAAGATATCTTGGTATTTCTTGTTGATTGCAAATTAACCACCATCTCTTGAGTGGAGATTCATATTGTTGTAACGACGATTCACTTAGTGATGAGAGAGATAGCTCAGCAGCTTTCGTAGGTACCTATCTTAATTTAAATGCTTTCATGATAAAACTCCTGCCGCCAGGGAAAGGTTCTTCCAGAGTGGGTGATTTTCTGTCAATATAATGGATGAGATTAATATTTGGCTTAAATATTATGGGCTTAGATTCCAGCGTATTTGTAAACATTGGATACCACGCTTGTGTTGTCGACTGAGGGGCAATCACGATACCTCTAGCACTATCAGTCTTTATTTTCTTTAAAATCTTTAAAATAATTCAAAAAGGCGGGAATGCATAGAAAAATCGTCCGACAAATTTCTCGTGAACGCGTTAATTGCCTCAGCTCCTGGGTAATTTTTCCACGAGTAATATCTATTACACTTAGTAATTGAGCGACTTGCGAACAGATTAATTATTGGAGTGTCAAATTTATGGCAGATTTTTTGAAAAGCTGAATATGAGAGTGAAAACTCAGTCTCAGGTTCAAGTCTCCTGGATTCAAAATCTGCTACATAATTGTCTGCCGATCGGATGTACGAAGCAAAGATCTATAATTTTCGTTGCTCGCACCACTGTCATGTAGCCTTGGTGAGGTTATTTAAGTCCTGGTTTTGAATACCTCCCATACGATTAATGTATGATATGGCGGTGGTATTGTCGATCCTAAACAATATATATTACAATTATGACACTCTTTGACGAATGATTTCGAAGCTAAGAAAGCTGCGAGTAATTCGAGATAATTTATTTGATTTTTCTTTTCCTCTAAACTCCAAAAACCATGAGCTTTTTCCCACTGGAAGATGCACCCCAGCCTGACAGGGAAGCATCAGAGTAAATCTCGATTTTAAACTCGAAATTATTGATTGGGCTTGTTGCCGTCATAACAGATTTTTTCCACCACTGGAAGTCATCTCCTAAGTGTTTTGGAATCTCCATCTTTGCATCAAAATTACCGACCACGCGTTTTAATGCTAAAAATTTTTCTCTTTTAAAATTTTTCATGTAAACCCAACCGTATCGGACTGCTGGACAGCATGCACCTAAAGAACCAGTAAAAGAAGCAAAATCTTTGATCTGGCAGCTTTTAAGTGGGAAAATTTATTTAATTTTTTGCTTATGTCAGACCTTTTTTCTGGTGGCAATGAAACTAACATTCTCTCTGAGTCTAGAACAAACCCTGAAAATTTTTTATTAGTTTTTGGCATAAGACTACTCTTGTTTTTATTAGTTATGAAGCCTAATTTTTTCAATAACTCACAAATTTTTGAAAGATTTTTTAGAAAATCTTCATTAGACTTTCCAATGGACAAAAATCTCTTCTTTCTCAAAACAGATTCTACAACTCTCATAATTTTTGTAAAGACATAAGGTGCTGTATTGAGTCCAAAAGACATACACGTGAACTTATAAAGTTTGTGACCGAATAAAAATATTAAATATTTTCTACTACTTTCTTTTATCGATATTAAATAATAGGCATCCTTGAAGTCAACCGTAGCCATTCGACGTAATGAAAAATTAAATCTCCTGCCGTTCGAAGGTTTTCTAACTTAAAGTGCTGAGTTTCAATAAAACTATTCAAGCCTTTCAAATTTAAGATTAAGCGATATGATTTATCTGGTTTCGGAACTAGAAAAATTGACGAGATAAATTCGCCTTCGACGTGTTGACATTCCGTAATTACCCCTTTCATGAGTAATTTCGAGATGAGCCCGGGATTTACTGGAATTCTTCCAAAGACCACTTGGACTCTGTCGGAGTGGTATTTTGTCGAGCAAACTGGCTAAAAGGTATCTCATAGCCTGATATCCATGTTAAAACAATAAGATCACTGGTGATCAAAGCCCAAATGTCTTTAAACAGACTAAGTCTACCTGCAGATTTACTGACATTTATCGTTTCCTCAAAGGATGGCGGCTGCGGGCTCGTGCTCGCATTCGGTCTCTGGTATGCATTCTTCTGATACATGTTCCTCAGATTTCATGATCGTCTCTGCCCATCCGGTTTGGTCTGTGTCTTCGCTGCTATTGTCAAACGGAACGGGCGCTGGCCGTTTTTTGCTGTTTCGAGGGTTTGTCTGAACTTTTCAGTTTTTTGCTTGTACGCTCCAATGTCTTAGCGATTTTTATTTGACTTTCAAGTTCTTTTCCGAACAACATTTCTCCAATCGTCGTTGCGTTCAACGTTTCTCTCAAACTAGAGTTCAAGTTTGTGTGGACCAAAGCTTTTCTCGTAAGAGATTCCTCTCTTTGAACCTCCGAGAGTACTCTACAAACGTCACTCACTAACTCTAATACCACTAATTTATCAACTTCTTCTTCTGAAATTGAAGACGTGATAGCTCAGCCTAAAGCGGTGAGACATACAGATAATTTTCTCTGTTTTTTAACCATTCGAGCATTTTTACTGACTGCACCCTCTGGGAGTGATGCTTTTATTTCAGGGTTTAATTTGGGGGGGGGGGGTTTATTGATTTACAATTCTCCGGAGTAGAAAATTTTTTCAAAAGTTCCAGTTTTTCTTCTTTGGGCAAGCCTTTCTCCAGAATTTCTGTCCAGCGCAACGCAATCTCTTGTTCAATTGGTGGTCCTGTTGCGTTGTCTGGATCTAAACGTTTTCCAATTTCTTTCAAAATTGACTCATCCAGTTGTGTTAACTGAGCTGCCACGACCGTCTGGCTATTCTGCCCCCTCCCCCCTCTTTTTCTTTATCAGAGTGTTTTCCAGATTCTGCGCTCTGCTTAGGCAGATCATAACTTAGTTGAGTAGCATTTTGGTTGTCTGCTTGGCTCTTTGAACCTCGTTCTCTTGAATGATAAGACGATTGTTTACTCCTAGATCGGCTGCGAGAGCTTGAATATTCTCGTATTTCTTTTTCTCTTGAATAAGTACGCGTACTACGATCTCTTGATCTAGTGCGCGCGAAAAACGATCTCGTGATCTTACTCGTGAATGACGATTACGTGGTCTTCTACGTACATGATGATCTCGTGATCGTGCACATGAATAATAGTCCCTTGATTTCCCACGCAAAAAACTATCTCTTGATCGACTTCGCGATTCTGAATAACTCGAGGACCTGCTTCTGTCATAGTAGTCTCTTGATAACTACATAATTATCTCTTGATAATTATAATTAGCATTATTCCGAATCATCTGTGTACTTATCTGTAACATTTTTCAATTTTACATAATTTTTTGTAATTTTAGGTTATACTTACGTTTTCCGTTTCGACGGCTTCTATATTTGTCTAATTCTCTTTCAAGACATAATATGCGTCTTCTGCTTCTTTCATAGTCATAGTCTCTGTCAGATCTTCCTCGATCCATTTTTCTGATCTCGAAATAATTTTCTTAATTATTTATTACGCACGTTGAAAACTTCAACTTGTGTACACGCTCTGCTCAAAAAAAAGAATGAGGTTGGCTGGGCACAGCGCTGGGTTCACGGCGGTAAAAAATTTTTTTTTTTTGCATACTTTAAACTTGTGGCAAAAATTGTAGGAAGTAGGGGTACTACTAGTGATCAAAAGAAGAGGCGCGAAATACAATTTTCAGATCGCTTATTAACTTTTTTAAATGTTACATAAATACACTGATCTTTGATCATTTTTGTAGAAAATGATATGTTGGTAGGCTCCAATCCTATCTTCAAAGCAACATTATGCAATTTTGCGCTCCTCGTCTCACTAAAATAATGGATTTTACTGGTTACTGCAAGAGTATTTTGTACAGTTTTTGATTCTAAATTTAGATAGAACTTATAAAGTTGAGGTGATAGTATGTCTCCTTTTTGTGATAATGTTAATTCGATATAGCTTTAGACATAAATACATTTCGACACATTTATTGATTAAGCCCTTTTGCAACTTGAATCATTTTTAATAAATAAAAATTTCCTGATTTAAAACCAAATGAAGAGTATACCCATTATGGTCCCCATTCCTTAACACTTATTGCGAAGTGTGTTAATTGATGGACGTTAAATGTCATCGCATTTTTGGTGTAAACTTTCTCTATCTTTTAAGCAAATTGGTGCAGTAAATTCTTAGCTGTCCGAATATCATATTTAATTTAAGCAAAAGATGTAGTGTTTCCACAAATAAAGCCCAATCAGATACATAGGTATCAGATAAGCTGGTCAAACTCAGTAATGGTAAACAATAATATAAAATCCAATTTTCATATTCGTGAGCTTTCCAGTGAGACTGATCTTTCAATGTACACACTAAACGACTAACCTGATGAGGAACTTTTTAATTAAATTATAATTAAATAAAAAAACATTCATTAAGGGGTTACATGGGTTTCGTAGGGGAAAAAAAAAGGCTATTTTCAATCATTTTTTTTCTATATAAAAAATTATTTATTTAATTTGAACTTTTTTGTGTCTTAAAGATACACATTTAAAGAATAATTTCTGAGATTTTCAAAAAAAAAAATTAAAACTCCGCCATTGTGACGTCATTTCCGGTGACCCCTTGAAAAAAAGGTGCGTCTGCGTTGTCAGCGTAACTCCTGACAGGATCATCTAAAATGAAAAAAAAAAAATACGTGTTTTAGTTAAGACCATAAACTCGTATTTAAATGGAGCAAAAAAAAAAAAAGTAAAAATTGGAATTTTGGCAGACCTTTTTCCAAAAAAAAAAAAAAAAAATAATAATAATAATAATAATAATAATAATAATAATAATAATAATAATAATAATAATAA